AAAAAAAAAAAAAAAAAGATAGAATAATTATGTGCATTGTTACCATATATCCATATGTTTCCCAATACATAGTAGGTTCTCAATAATATTTCCAAATTATAGGAAGTAGCAGAGCTGTGCCAATTTACATTTTCTAAGGACTCACAGTTTTGCTAAAGTAGGAAACTGAAGAGCTCCTTCAGGGCAGGTACTTCGCAGGTGAACATGTATTAAGTTGATTTGTAGTCAAAATTTGATATTTTGTTTTGTTTTTTGTCAAGACACATTTCTACCCTATGCCCTGAGCAGAGGGCCGTGGCATTGTAGCTCACTGCAGCCTCAGACTCAGGCTGTGGGCATCCTGCTGCCTTAGCCTTTGAAGCCTGGGATTACAGGTGCTGGCCGCAATGCTCAGCTGGGTTTTTCAATTTTTTTCATGAGTCAGGGGCTCACTCTTCCTCACTCTTGCTCAGACAAGCCTGAACTCCTGAGCTCAAGCAATCCTCCCACCTCAGCCTCCCACAGTGCTGGGATTAAGGCATGAGCCACCGTGCACGGCAAAATTTGATATTATTAAATATTACATGTGCTGACACCTCACAAGGAAAAAAAAGCTGTTATAAAAATGTTTACTGTGGATGCCTCACACCTATAATTATAACACTTTGGGAGTCTAAGGTGGGAGAATTGCTTGAGGAGTTTGAGACCAGCCTGAGCAAGAGCAAGACATTATCTCTATGAAAAAGAGATAAATTAGCCAGGTGTGGTGCTGTGCCTCTATGGTCCTGGCTATTTAAGAGGCTGAAGCAGAAAAATAGCTTAATCCCAGGAGTTTTTTGAGGTTGCAGTGAGCTATGATGATGCTACTGCACCATAGCTTGGGACAGATGGAAACCCTGGGAGGCTAAAAAAGAGTTTACTGAAGGGAGCAACACAGAATAATTGTCATTCTGGTTTCTCTCCATAAAGGTAAGAATTATTAGTATGATTTACAAAAAAGCTTCATGAAAGATTTTGCACTTAAAACATTACACTGAGGGCTGGTCTCAGTGGCTTATGCCTGTAATCCTAGCACTCTGGGAGGCTGAAGCCGGTGGATTGCCTGAGCTCACAGGTTGGAGACCAGCCTGAGGCAGAGCATGACCTTGTCTCTAAAAATAGCTGGGTGTTGTGGCAGGCGCCTATAGTCCCAGCTACTCGGCAGGCTGAGGCAAGAGAATTGCTTGAGCCCAGGAATTTGAGGTTGCTGTGAGCTGTGACACCATAGCATGCTACTAAGGGGTGACCAAGTGAGACTCTGTCTCAAAAAAATAAAAAATAAAACATTACACTGTTTAAGGAGGACATCTTAGGAACATGTTTTTTGTTTTTTTTTTTTTTGAGACAAAGTCTCACTCATTTGCCCTGGGGTTGAGTGCCATGGCATTATAGCTCAGCAACCTCAAACTCTTGGGCTCAAGCAGTTCTCTTGCCTCAGCCTCCCAAGTAGCTGGGTGCCCGCTACAATGACTGGCTATTTTTAGAAAGGGGGTCTCACACGTGCTCAAGTTGGTCTTGAACTCCTGAGCTCAAGCAATCCGCCCGCCTCAGCCTACCAGAGTGCTGGGATTACAGGCATAAGCCACTGCCCTGGCCCCTGAACATGCTTTAAAGAAAAAAAAAAATTTTTTTTTTTTTTTTTTTAGAGACTAAGTCTCACTTTATCACTCTCCGTAGAGTACCGTGGCAGCGTCACACAGCTTAGGCTTAGGTGATTCTCTTGCCTCAGCCTCCGAGTAGCTGGGACTACAGGCGCTCACCACAACGCCAGGCTATTTTTGTTGTTGTTGTGGTTTAGCTGGGTCTGGGTTTGAACCCACTACCCTCAGTATACGGGGCCAGAGCCCTACTCACTGAGCCACGGGTGCTGCCCTAAATAAAGAAAAAATTTGAAGAATGCACAACTGTTAGGTAGACAGTGAAGCTCTCTGGGCCCCTCCTGGGGGGCAAAAGGTGGGCCGCCAGGCCCTCATACCTTCATCTTGGTGCTGCTCTACCTTAACCCTGTCCTGAGTGATTGCCCACACCTGGGGAAGGAGGGCATGCCACTACCAGTCTGAACTTAGCATGCCAACTGCAAAAGGATGCAGAGGACTCTCTACCCCACCAACCAAGCTTCATAGGTCCAATAGAGTCTGGAAGGTAGGAAAACAACCATAAGGTTAATTATCATGTCATTAGCATCTATTTTGCAATTCACAGCCTCCCCCCCCACCCTGATAGGCTTTCAGAGAGGCTCATGGGAGGTCCCCAGAAACAGTAAAACTCTGTGGTGCAAGGTGACCTATGAACCACGAGGTCAATCCAACCAAGACAGTATA